AGAGAGAGAGAGAGTTGTGACATGAGACTTGACGACATTGGATCCAGACTCGACATTGGGATTCAGACATGTTGACGAGGGACTATTTGGGACTGTGCTGAACACTTGGTGTTGACGACATTCCCATCTTCCCTTCTTCTTCGTCTAACCCCACCTCCTTCGTCTGTGTATGGTTGGGGCTGGCGCAGTCTTCTTGTGTGAAGCGCCAGACCCCTTCACACCATGATGATGATGATGTATGTTCGGGGCTGCATTGCAATATTGATTGTTCGGATCATTGGTATCTAAGTCTTCCGCTGTGCTATCTTATACTTTGTATTGAAGGGTCGGTTCTTGTTCTGGTCTGCACCTATACGGTATGCAACACGGTGTCTGGAGAGGTGGGAGTGTAAGACAGGTGGAGGCGGTGTCTGGAGAGGTGGGAGTGTAAGATCGGTTGTCCGCTGGATGTTGAAGTATGGATGGATTTCGTGCCTTTGTTGTCGTTCCTGTTATCTCCATAGCGATGAAAATGCAGCATCGAAAAAGTGGCGAGTGCAAGGAAGAAGGGAGAGCGCAAGAGAAGCTGGCTTGCCGATAACAAAGCAAGATGAGCAAACATGTTGGGAGATGCTATTGGCCCATGCAAGTGTTTGTGATTTTTTTGCTTCTATAATAGTTCTATTTTGCTATTGGACCATGCAAGTGATGAAACATGTTGGGTGGTGCTAATTTTGCTAATTTTTGCTAATCTCGCTTCTATTTCTTTTGTCTTAGACATTATGGGAATCTTGGTTGGTGTTATTGGGCCATGCAACTGTTTGTGATTTTTTTGCTTCTATAATAGTTTTTATGTCTATTTGTTCGACTCTCAAGTGATGGTCCACTGTTTGTGATTTTTTTGCTTCCATAATAGTTCTATCATCTATGTCTATTTGTTTGATAGAACTTTAGACTCTCGACGGATCAAGAAGAGAAAGGAAAATGAGATTGAAAAGAAAAACCTGCTTTCTTTTTTTTTTTTTTTTTTTTTTTTTTCCTGGGACCTTCCCTGGTCCTTGCATGTCCAGGCCGCCCGGGAAAACAGGATGACCTGGGCAGCCCGGCTGGTAGCCTAGGTTAATGTTATATTTTCTTCACATCCTTATCTGAAAAAGGGAAGGGAATTACCTAGCACTGGCTAACAGTAAAAAGAGGCGTTAAATAAATTCAGAGTAGGAGACGTTCATTTACTGCTCTCAGACTTTGGCTCTCTGAAACAGCAAAGGGACAACATGTGCAGAAAATGAAACAGACATAGATGCAAAAAGAGATCGACCGGATTCGATGGAACATCATGGAAGATGTTAGCTGAGGAAATACATCGCGCGCCATGTCAAGAACATAGATGAAGACACGTGGCTATATCCGGAGAAAGGTACCCGAACAAATGTGGAGTGTTACTTACCGGAATGTACGCATCACCCAAGGGGTCCCAGATATCAGGGTCGATACCATTGCGGATCCCGTGGAACTTCCCCAAATGTGGGACAACACTCCCATGACCTGAAATCTCTCTCGCATACGTTGGTGACACCTGAAATGACACACGCATCAGCAATAATCTTAGGAAAAATTTGCAACTAAATATAAGGCCTCATGACAACGTCCTTCGACATTCTCATGTGCAAACAGATATTTGTGAGAATGTGAGTTCTCTATTTCCCATGAAAGACATACGGCAATGTGTACGTGAGTTGTGAAAAAGACCTTAATCCGTAAGCAAAGCTTGAATTTGGCGCATATACCATAACCGAAGAATAACAAGTATATACGACGATCTAGCTATGCATTGGTGCTTTGAGTCTGCTATGTGAGAGCACAACAAGGCAGAATCTGACAAAACAGAATCTGACAAGGCAGAATCTAACCTTGACATCCATTGTACCGAAGAAAGTTCAGAAACCAGAGAAGATTAAGGGCTCATACAAATCATAATATTTATTAGTAATTCACTGACAGAAAGCAATACTTTTTTTTTTTTTTTTTTTCCCTTCGTTTCTTCCTCCTTTTCTTTCCCTTCCTTTTTCTTCTTCTTCCAAGTAGACGTTAATTGTGGCTTATAAATAGTAATATGAGGTGATAATGGTCGATTGATTTTCATTGTCAGTTCTTTTTACTCTGATTTTGACTCAAGGTGACAGGACTCGAACCTATGACCCTCTTCTGTACCCAAAAACAGATGCGCTACCAGACTGTGCTACACCTTGTTATTATGTTCAATTGGCCTTGAGATATCATCATTGAGCTGACTGGCCCCAGGTAATTCAGAATTATTTCATTCTGTTCATCGGATTGCAGCTGGATTCAAACTTGGGACTGTATTTTTTTTCTACAGTTCATCGGGTGAACTTACCCTTGGCTGCCACGAGGAGGAAGGTGGGGAGTAGTCATAGCAGCGGTGATAACAGTGGTAGCGGCTGCGGTCATAGTGGCAGTAGCAGCAGTAGTAATGGTAGCAGACGCTGTGATGACTGGCATTGTCATTCTCGTGATTGTAAACAGAAGCAGCAGCAGTGGTAGTAGTATTAGTAGAAGCGGATATTACAGTAGCGGCAGCAGTAGTAGTGGCAGCTCGCAGAACCTTCGCTGTCATCATCGCCGTGGTGGTAATAGCAGTAGCAGTAGCAGCGGCGGCAGTGCCAGCAGCCGTGATATCAGCGGTGGTGGCAGTAATGGCAGTAGCAGTAGCAGTAGCAGCGCCAGCAGCAGTGATAGCAGCGGTGGTGGCGGTGATCATGGTGGTAGAAGCAGCAGCGTCGCGACAGCAGTAGTAAAAATAGTAGAGGTGGTGAAAACTGGAATTGGCGTTGTTGCAACGTTAAAAGAAGCAGCAGTAGTAGCAGCAGTGATAGTAGTACTAGTTGACGCCGGAGTAAGGTAGCAGAGGTAAGGTAGAACTAGTAGTGGCAGCTCTCACGACAACCTTCACGGCCATCATCATGCATAAAGATAATAGCAGTAGCAGTAGCAGTAGCAGTAACAGTAGCAGTAGCAGCTGTGACAGCAGCAGGGGCAGCAGTAGCACTGCAAGATTCTAGTATGGCCAGGTGCTCCTGTAATATCACACAGCTGTTGCAGGGACTCTGGACACAGGTTTTCCGCTGCATGGGGCTGAGCGATAACCACGTCTATCTATATAAATATGCCTGTGAGAATGTGGTGAAGGACAAAAGCAAAGAGCAGTAGAAAAGCCAGTCGGTCGACAGACAAAGAATAGCTCACCGTCGTCGATTTGTGGGCATTGGCGATGGCCTTGCCAATGGCTGCACCGCCAAACTCCATGTTATGAATCGTAAAAACAATACGAGAGTTATTTAGCCCATGCTCCTTGTATTGTTCCTGGTAAAGCCAAGCAACTGGGGCTGATGACCAGTCATGGCAGTGGATGATATCCTGCCCGCCATCTCCCCACCACGCCGCCCACACACCCACAGCACACAGAACCCATCAAGCAAGTCCCCAAGGAAAATGACCGAGACACAAGACAACCACCACAGGTTGTGTCAGTTGAACTCAGTTCCCGGCAGCGTCTGGGGGAATGACAACAACGCCCCGCAAGCTCACTAAGTTCCCTTTTTTTTTGCATTTCAATTCCTCGACGCCCCAGTGCAAAATGCGGTCTCCGGGGTTCCTTGCATCTATTGCAATGCACATTACCACATTTGTTCGCTTCTCTCAATTTGGGGGCAACAGCAACACGGGGCAATAAAAGAAAGCATTAATTTAAAGGCACCCATATAGAGTTTCTTTCATTTTGTCAGAAGCAATGCACATTACCAGAAGGTTTTCCCATGCTGACCCCCATGCTGACCCCCCTTGAACAACTCACTCGATTAGGGGGCAACAGGAGGGCACTACCGTCTCCCCCCAAACATACCGATGTGCATTGTATGCATTTTTTCGAAGAAAAAAAAAAAACAATGTTTCGAATAGAATGCATATGCATCATATTCGAACACACGCACTTGAATCAAAGTCTGTATTTTGTTTTGAGAAGCTTTGCATACCTCATTCGATTGAATGTGTAATTCAGGCAGAATAATTTGACTGAACATTTTGGCATCTCGTTTGATGAAAAATGCTATCGAGTCCAAAAACTTTTGATCTTGAATTCGTGATAACAAGGCGCCACTTATATCCATTCGAATAGAATGCATACGCTTTGTATTCGAATAGAAAGAAACCTGTGCGTTGTATTTGTTTACAAAACATGTGCGTTATGTTCGGAGGAAGACGGTAGGGAATGAAACCCAGCATTGAAGTCGTTGACCCATACTGTTGCAAACTTAACTAGTTCTTTCACACAACGTTTTTCATGCTATTACGAGGACTCCGAAGACGAAGTCACAAGCTAATACCGGTGTTTCAGGTGAGCGACTGGGAGGAGAAGATAACTCACAGGATTCCGCCCTGATTGCAACAGGAATTCGAGGGCTGCGTTGCAGAAAAAGCCAAACCGCTGCGCATCATCATTCCGACCGTAGATGCACCCCGCCCAGAACATCCTGCACACTCCATGAAAAGTGATGTATAAACATTCAGATTGGACAAGTGGTGCGGAAGAGACAAGCTAGGAGCCTCATGCGTCAAAACACGCATGCGATTCCAACAGGGAAAACAATGGATTGAAGGGGTGGAAGTTCCGTGGAACATAACAAGACGGTACAAAGGGTTGTTAGTACTTATTACACATCACTGGTTGATTTGGGAGTCATCCACAACTGTACTCAGTCATTCCTTCGACAGAAGCATAATATTATTTGATTTTAATCAGAAGCATAATAAATTAACATAATGTAATAAAAATTTTCAATGTCATTGTAAATTCTACTGTTTTATTTCAAAATCTATGACTGGACTGGAGAAAATGCTCTGGAAGCGCTTCTCAAGAAACTATGGCCTTAAGTAACATAGACCAATCATAATCGTTTTCCCACAGTCCCTTTTCCCCCCTTAAGCCAAGGGGAGTTGGAGAGGAGAGGGCCCAAAGGTTATTATGCACACCACCCATGTGCTTGGGGCAAATAGATAAGTTATTGCTTTTGAAGGCACATAATGGAGAGCCATCAATCCATACCCCAACAGCGAAGTTCCACGTCCAAGAACTTCTTCACAGTTTACGATCAACAACCATGACAATTACGCCGACGGCAGTCGCAGACAGTCACAGATTCCACTGCCTCCGCCCACGCATTGCAGCTGTCCATGAGCCACAAACCACCCTCCGCACTCTCCACAGGCACCACCATGCACAATAAGGACATTTTCCTCCTCCTGGTATAACCCACTGCATGGGACTTAATACTCTGATTCAAGCTTCTCATACACATGAAGTTATGAACACATCAGATGACCCATAGGTAAGAATAAATGAAGGCATCCCTCTCACCATTGCCAATGCGGCTACACTAGAGTTAAGCAAGGTTTAAGGTGGTTACCATCTCTGGCGTCAGAGTGTCCACACCCAGCAACAAATTGAGTGTCCGCAGCCAGCTGACGCCAGGGTGAATCTGGGAGGGCTGTTGGAAAATCCATCGGCACGTGTGAGTGATAGCCAAAATTACAGTAATAGGGAGACATACTGTATATGGAGAAATGGCACGGTTGGAGGCTATCTCTGCGTGGGGAGGGTTCAAATCCCAATCTTGAGTACAACCCATGGAGACCACCCATAAGCGGGACTAAGCGCAGACTACCTACCCGACTTGGATGTCTCCTCGTCTCACATGTAAGGCCATCAAGAAATCGGTGAGCACTCAGAAGAGAGTGCGAAAGATATAACGTGGTCTTTCGAGCTACTCCACAACAGACTTGGTAGTCCTAGTCCTTTATAGTCCCCCCATCCTCAAAGATAGAGCTTGGCGATAAGTTAATTTCTTGTCTACACTTATCAGTCTTCGAGAAACCAATATTACAATGGAAGCACCTGTCTCTGATATAATAATAAAAACTCAGTAGATCTGGATTTTGTGATCACGCCGGTAAACCGCATGCCAAACTGGCCTATGTGAACTTGGATATTGCAAAGATTCTTAATAAAATTTTAACAGTCAATCAGATTCTACAACGTGTTTGTACTTATTAATTTATTATAGTTTTGTACACAATCGTACCAAGATGGGAGCGTCCCCTTTTCCCCAGAGCAGTGGCCACCGCAATGGGCTCGGACTTCCCCTGCCAGAACATGGGACAGTATCATACTCTCACCGTAAGACGTAAGACAGTCACGTTTGGAGGTAGCAGGGGTTTACCTCCAACAAAGTCTGACACAAGAACTGGGTCAGTATCGCAGGTTTTCCCATTCCCATTCCTGAGAGAAAGCCTATGCAGAGTACCAGTTGGGACTCTCAGTATCGCAGGGTTTCCATTTGGATTCCTGACAAAAACCTATACGGACTAGTACCAGGTGACTGCAAGATTTATATGAAATGGAGTCAGCAAGACACTACCTTCTTCACCCGAATAGAACACCCAGTCGTAATAGCTGTATTTGCCATTTGGTGCAATTTTCAGTTCCGGATACAGATATCAAGACCGGATGTTTTATTCGGGTTAATAGGTAGGCATAGTCAAAACGATGGTGGGCACTACTACCCAATCAGATAGCATCATAGCACATGAATGTTTTTTTTTTTCATCGACATTCATTTCACCTTCCTTCACAATAGAACCACAACAAATTTACTATTTAGTATTTAGTACTATGTTATGTTATGCGACGGTGCCTGACGAGTGAGGGAATTGCACATGCACAGGCCTACAACAGAGTGTGTCCAATCACAAGCTCAAAGCTATGGTTGACAGGTTGGCTGATACCCATTCTCTGGCTCCAGGAAATGCACCGTCAAGCCTTCGACTTCACCACACCACGTCCGGACCCTCGTTCCGCCCCAGTTGTAATCCTTCCCTTCCTGCAAAATGCGTACCTGCAATCATCCGATGAGAATGATATGAACAACAGATCGAGCAGACCCCTCGCTAGTCACAGTCTCAGATTCTCCTGCTATGCCTCGTTCCACCAGGGACGAGCTTTCTAGCAAGGGATCTCCCTCCCCTCTGTCCTCGCATGCATGCATCCAATGGGAAATAATGAAACTAGCAATTGCCCTCGCATGCATGCATCCAATGGGAAATAATGAACCTCGCATACATGATCCTGCTGATTCGTTATACATTGCAGTTTAGTCCCCTCCCGGCACCAGGTGATTTGGCATCTGGTGCAAGGAGGTGCGAGGCACTTCATCTTGCACATCTGCAAATAAAATGATTTGCATCCATCAGATATTATGCAACTGACAAGACCAGAACCTGCTATGATCAAGTTCTGTCTGCCTTGAACTAGTTTCCTAGCCAAGCTGCCAACCTAATTGATATCATGACTTAATTAGTCAACAGTAATACCCATTATCGTTAATGCATAATGACAGTTTCTTTGGGTTAACTGTGATTTCGACATTCTGCGCCATTCTCATAAGGATCTCACCGAGACGAATGCAATTTTAGAGAGAGAGAGAGAGAGAGAGAGAGAGAGAGAGAGAGAGAGAGAGAACATAATGACAGTTCCTTTGGATTGAAATCTTCAAAGAACTGTGATTTCGACATTCTGTGCCATTCTCATAAAGATCTCCCCGAGACAAACAATGTCTGTGTGTGTGTGTGTGTGTGGAGAGAGAGAGAGAGAGAGAGAGAGAGAGAGAGAGAGAGAGAGAGAGAGAGAGAGAGATTTTCATCACTTTTTATTTTTTACTGCAAACCACTAAACTACCGTCTTCACCCAAATAGAATGCCGCTGCATTGCCCAGTCATTATACCTGTATTTTGTGCAACTTTCAGTCCAGATACGGTGATAATTATTGGGCATTCTATTCAGGCGAAGACAGTATTACAAAGTTACTACAAGAACTACTTCAGAGTTACAAACTTTTGCCACTCTCTTTTTGTTTTTCCCCTTTCCCGTCTTCCAGAAGGTGACGCTCCCCACCAACGGATCGGAGCCACTCAAAAGAAAATCTTGGTCCTGCTGGTTCGCTTACCACCACGGGAAGGCAGGGCTTCACAGGGTGTTTTTCAAAGAAAGAAAAAGAAAGAAAGAAAAGCTTTCCCCTTTAATTATGCACTCTTAAAAGATGGGCACACTGCACACGTTGGAACTCTGATGTCACAGATCCAGACCCTCTATCTATCGATTCCTTCTCTTACATTCTTTCATCCAAGCCTCTCCATACTTGCATGCGCTTCCCAAAGTGTGACTGTGATTGTACAGTAGCATGGCAGGAGCTGTTAAGCCTATCATTCAAATTTGCAGCCTCATCAAGCATTGTTTATTACCTTTCACTTGTCCGCACTCAATGCTCTCCCACTACACGCTCTACAATAATTCATACACCAAATGGCCTACGTCAACAGTTGAAGTTCGGCCAACACATTAGCACATTCATCAATCAGAAGATTTCTTATGCAGCACTGCTCCCAACACCTCACCCAAACCATTCTGTTCAGAACGTCAGTATGCCGTCTCTACATCCCAATGCTGAGTATCATTGTGTTGAACAAACACATGCCATTTCAGCTCTGCTCCATGTGGTTAGCACCAAGGTTTTGATATAAATACCTGCGAGTAGTCTATGCAGTTGTACTTGGGAAGAACAACCTCGACTTTGTGACCTGCCTCCTGCACAGCCCGCGATAAGCTTGTGACAACGTCACCCAATCCTCCAACCTGGACAAGGCATAACCATCGCCATACCCATAACGATTCAGCCCCGAGAAACAATCTCTGCTGTTCAGTGAAATCACTTGGCCGCCTTGTTAATGACTGACACACAGTAATCAGCCCATGCGGCCGAACAAGAATCAGGATTGAATCAGAAAGTTGTCAATAAGTCCGAGGTACTTGGGACCCATGAAATTCGAAAAAAGAAAAGAAAAGAAAAAACCATGGCTACCGTGGACCGGGACACTGGACCGATCGGGACCCAGACAACCAGTCGGTCCAGATATGATCCGGACATCCGGATTTCCGGACCAGTCCGGACAAGTCCAAGGTACTTAAAGTCCGGATCGGTCCGGATGGTGTGGATGATCATGTCCGGATTGGTGCAGTGTTGAATGCAGATACGGATTGGTGCGGCATTGAATGACGTTTCATCGTATAACCGTGACTTACGGGGAAGTGTTCCACGAAGACATAGCTGTTGGCATATATGACAAACATGAATGGTCATTCCTTGACATTCACTCACTGTGCTGGCACAGTCACTGCAAAGCACAACCTGCTGCAAGTGAAGAAAAGTGAAGAAACCAAAAAAAGAGCACTCCACAGTAAACTCGAATAAAGGTAAATATTAAATAAAGTTCAGGACTTCAGCATGGAGCCTTTGACCACACCCTCGTTAATGTGGTTTGAAGCATTACTTAAAACTACAAAGCAGTGAGTTAAACCTCACACAATATACCTTCGCAATGGGAGCCATTTCCACAGCCACATGGACAATTGACATGGGAGGCTCCCTGACCGAGCCACCAGCAATAGGCACGTGATAATCCAGTCCGCCTCGGTTGTCATAGAAGCCACCGTCAGCATCTCCTCGCTCCGAAAACACAAGATCCATCATGTAAGCATCAACTGGCACATACACTGGGAACAGAAGAGTACGCACATGCAGCCGAACAAACATTCATCATGACATGAACACAAAATCACAGTTGTCGAATCGTCTCTGTAGTTGGCTCCTACTTATACCACTACCTTTTACAAAAGGCGATCAGAAGCTTTCGTGTTCAATTTTTCTGAGAAGGGTCCAGAAACTGCCATTGGTTTACCTTTCCGGCACCATGCTGCATGGGAACCTACTTAATCCTTTTCAGCTTCAATACGCAGTATTACACACCCCCCTTGAGCTGCACTCGAAGCCTTCGGAACCGTGCCAAGGCTATTGGGGCTATGTGCGTTGCATATGCTACGGTGGGAGAATAAACTGCCTTCTCTGGGGAGGAGGCAGGGCGAAGAGCACCATGCATTAAGGGCACTGGAAGAAAAGGTTCTAGATTGCAGCAGAAGCCAGAATTCAGTTGCAGACAATCAAAAGCTGTGGCCTCTTAGGAGACGCAATTCACCCCTCTCATCATAGGTCTCCTTGGGAGGGAGGCCTGCACAAAGTGGGGTGAAGGGGGTTACCATTAATTCATAAACTCACTGGGAAGGAGATGTTTCAGAAAGGGGAGGAGTGTGACCAGAAGCGGGGTTGACTCTCTCGAGACAGCAGATATTCACAAGAAATGTTTACTGTAGTAACCATACTTTTGCTAGGTTTGTTAGTTCCAAGAAAGGTAAATCGCTTTTGATTTCCAGTGTTCAGTTTCTGTGCTTAGGTTTGTCAGTTCCAGGGAGTCATCCGACCAATACCTCTGCGAGACAGCAGAAATTCACAAGAAATGTCTACCGTAGTAACCGTACTATTATGTTCTCTGCCTGTAGGTGGTATTATTGGACTTGCATATTTTTGCTGGAAATTTTCTTAATCGTTTCATTGCCTGTGAATGGCACCTGTTAAACGACCCCCTCATCCAGACCTCCGTGCGTCCATGCAAGAAAGGTAATCTTACATACCTTTGCTGGAAATTTTCTTAGTCGTTTCATTGCCTGTGAACGGCATGTAAGACGGCTTGGCTCTGTCGACCTTCTCATTATCATTATCGAGGGAGGCCGATCCCATGGAAAAGTGATCACAGGAGGGAGAGGCAGTAATGAAAGCAGTAATAATGGGGGAACAACTTGGCGATTAAAGATGTGAGACATATTCAGGGGTCTCCACATGTAGGTAGTCAACTGAAGGAGGGGCTGGCAAGCAGGAAGCAGTCTCTCACCTGTAGCTTCCATGTGAGGACCGTTCCCGGATGGATTCATTTTCAGGGGCATGAAGCATCCAGAGCGATGCGTCCACCTGTTAAACGACCCCCTCATCCAGACCTCCGTGCGTCCATGCAGCACTGTGTTCTGCGGGTTGTAGTATACTGTTACATGTTGCCCAGCCCTGACCTCCTCTGGTTTCGTATAAATGATATGTGCTTGTGACTGCAAGAAAGCTTGCTTCGTTTTCTGCTTAAGCTCTGCCTTCAGGCGTACTCGCCGGTCGATCTGCAAGCACAGCCAAACACAGCCACATCAGATCACTTTCACTACGAGAAAAAACACCTGATCTTCACTTCTTTCTTCATGATGGCTTCCGCGTCACTGCGAAGTTGCAAACCTGCTAAGCTTCTGAGCTTCGGAACCCCGAAATGATCGATCATTTACAAAGGGCAACAGAGTGCGTCGTCCTTTTCCCCAATCATTCTTTCCCATACTTGGTGAGAAGACCCATAACCAACCCATTTTCGACTACTCGTACTCTGCAATTAATATCGAAAATTTAAGTTCCCTGTAGCTCTCATGGTTAATCACCGGCTCACAAAGAATGGGACACAAAACCCAACGGCCCAGGTTTACACACAAACGTGCAAGTCCTGGCAGCGAGACGACAATACGTTATCTAACCAAATGGAACAAAGTGAAATGGTGTAGAGACGAAGCACTCCCCCTCTCCTCCCCGGTCGCATCAAACGCCTCCCTGCGTACACACCCTAATGTCACTTTCATCTCCTGCCACACTCTGGTACAACAAGTGAATGTGGCTTCTTGAACCATTTGGAAAAGCAGATGAACTACTAAACACTAGGAAAGAAAGTCAACGAAGAGGTAGCCTGAGTTAAGGATCTTCTGGACACAGATCCAGTGCAACGGAATATGGGCAAGCCATCCATTGCGAACTGACTGGCAGCACGGTCATTTTTGCAGTCCTTCAAAGCAAACGTAAAAGCTGTGGTTTTAACACCTGCGCGTGGAGGCGCTGCACTGCATGCCAAGCGTTTCCGATATGCCAGTGGCACACTTTTTTTCCTTTTACGCTGGCGCCACCAGCCATTGTGGTCCGGGAAATTTTCGGAGTAGGCGACAAACAAATTTCTGCAAGGCTGGGGCCGTGTAGTGGTGATTTGAACCACCACTTCAGGCCCCAGGCAAAATTGTAAGGGCGGACAGTTATATGAGCTGATGCAACTTTTCGGTTCACGGCTTGCAGACCAAAATCGTCGAAACATTATGCACTGGTTCGTTCTCATTTTCTTTCAGCGTGCAGCACGAGCAGCCTCATAACAAAGGCCCTCAGACGTGGTCGTCATTTGAAGTGGCTCTGATCTCCAGTAGCTCATTCATCCAATAGTTCCCGACTGTCCGTTTAAGACCCGACTGATCCCTTTCTTAAACCGCCAGTACCCGGCGGACCCAGCCTTGCTGAAAATGCAACTCGTTGCCTACAAAATTTTCGGAGGCTTGGCCTACCAGACGACAACAGCAAGGCGCCAGCCAAAAAAAAAAAAAAAAACGTCGGCGATTCGGCAAACTTTGGCATGCAGTACGACGCCTCCACCCCCGGGTGTACTGGTGGTTTAGGCATTCCCGGAGGCATCAAGCCATACAAGCAACAGCATCTTCTCCAGCCGCTTATTCCCCTCTATTGGGTGGGAGAAAAAGAAACAGCAGCTTTCTTCTGCTTCATAGAGGATCCTGTGTCCACCAGCACAGAGTGTCCTGCTCTTTTCTAGTCCCCATCAGAAAAGAAAGACAATTTCATAAAGTGCGCACCATGTATGGGATAAAAAGTTTGAAACACTTCATATTTGTTCATAATCTGCACCACTTCTTTTACAGAAAAGTTGAGAAAACAGATGAGTGAGCATATGCCATTACAGTACGATCAAGCAAAGTTGCATAGTTTGTTTTCACATTCTACCCACCGAACATCAACGACTCTCCCTTCTGCACCTGGAGCTACTTATATGAGATCTGAGTAATGCAGAAGAGAATTGATCCAATTCACACAGGCCAGCCGATGGGACGCGGAGCTTTCTTGTTTTGCTTTCAAGGGATTAGTCCCTAGCATGACGTGCCATTTAAACTCGATTTGGATTCAGCATCAGGACCTATCATTAGCAGATATACATATGCACTTCTTAAACCGCCAGTACTTGGGCAGAGCTACGACCGTGGGAAAAAAAATAGAGTAAAAATGTTTCTAGTCAGATGGATGAATTTGGGCGCTCCTGTACTGGCCCGTACTTTCCCTAAAATTGTGGCGTGTATACGGGCACGAGTTTAGGAAGTACTGGTGGTTAAAAAAAGGAGAAGAACGAAATGAATCGAGCGATGCAAGCTCAGCCCTACCAGACGCTGAGCAGCTTCCTCTCGCTCTTGTCGCTCCTTCTGAAGCCGCTGGAAAATGTTTCCCTCAATGGTATTCCAGAATTCGTCCACTTTCCCATCGTTTACAATCGCATGATAATCTCGCTGATGATTGTTGTCATAAATAGTGCCTTTGCCAGCAGGTCCATTTGAAAACACCCAATCAAGGAGGAATGCATCCCTTGGAACATCAACTGCAAGTAACGACAATACAACGAAGCAGGTTATCTCTACTGTGAAACTGGCTACCAAGACATTATTATTCACTTATATTAACATCATATGATTATATACTATCATTATAGACTATCAATTGCGAACTCATAAGTAATAATACTAACTACCCATATCAGGAGTCAGTCCCATCTCCTGTTCAGAGCAGTTCAGAAAGAGCGAAATGGTTGTTACACGAGCACCGCACCTTCAGTCTTCAGAGAGTTTCATGCTCGATACCTCCGAGGAGTACAATATGGAAAACCTTATAAAAAGCATTGTCTCAATGACACCTCAGCTAAGTAAGACATGTTTGGTCCACACGTCCATGTGTGGACCGTGAATTCTGCATCGATGCAGACAAAAGTTTGAAAAGCGAGGTCGTCTCATCCTCTCCCTTCCTTTGACCATCTTTTCCCCTCCAAATACCACCCCCTTCCCTCCTCGTCCCATCCCATCCTCCCATGGGCCATGGCTCATATCCCTCCACCCCCACCCTGAACCCCCCTCTCCCTTAGCGCTCTCGACACCACACCACCCCTGGCTCATCTCCCTCCACCCCCACCCTAAAATCCCCTCTCCCTCACCGCTCTTGACCCCACACCACCCCTGATTTTTGTCATCTGCTTTCGTGTGTCTGTCTCCGACACACATCGGCAGGCAGATTACACGAACAGCCTGGCCACTGATATGTTTACGAGTTACTGCTGTCCTACTTTTATTTGCGGTTATGAATTTCAATGCTAAACATACACAAGCCAGAGACATTGACGAAAACGAAGCGGATTACCATCCAATTATGGTATGCCAACTTCTTTTGAGTCATTTGCCCTTAGGTGGCAGCCTTTATTCAACCCACCTCAACAGCTACAGATAATACAACTGTTACACAACATTTTACTTACAAAACAAGAGGTCGGCAGTTGTCAAATCGTTTTGCTACAAAAAAAAACGTAGACTTCAAATGGCGTGAATGAAATCCTTGACTTGAGATAGGAACTCTAGAAGGTCAGGCCAAGTGGCGTCCAAAACAATTCACTCCATTATGCCAGTCTCACCTTCAGCATACCACCAATCGCCATCGTCCTTTTCGGCAGAGTATAACTTCTGAACAATGGACACTCCTGTGCTCCAACCATTATAACCAGCATGGATCCAAATGTCCTCGCTTTGAGCAAGAGAGCGGAACTCTCGGTTATAGAACAACTTGGCTTTCTTCCCAGCACTAATCTCCGCGGGGTTAGAAAACCAGACCGTTTCCATAGCGCGTACTGCTTCCGTGCGTCTCATCTCTGCCTTCGCCTTCAGTCCATCGACCTCCCTCCTTGCCTGGATCTTGTCGGCTTCGATTCCGGCTATCCTTTGTGAGACCCTCCTCTCCTCCTCTGCTTTTCGCTCCGCCTCTTCCTTGTCCTTGGCCAAACGCTCAAGCTCTTTCACCCTTTCCATTGCCAGGAAGTCGAGGAACTTCCTCTCGTCCCACTCCCCTGCGACCTTGAGATGAAAGTCTTGACCGCCATTGTTCTCGTAGATCGACTCCCCGTTGAAAAATACGAAGTCAAACTTGTAGGCCTCCTCTGGAACTTCAACTGCGAAAGCAACAGCACTTCCAAATGTCAGAAAAGTTACCAGGAATCAGCCAAAAGGTCACAAAAACCGTGATACTGCCCCAAAACAGTTACACTAGTACGTTTGCCGCGTGGGAAAATAGTGGGCCTGGGGTGGGCCTCCGACCTTTTCGGAGGCCAAAACGAAACAGCGCCCGCCGATCAGATTTATCAATGGCAGCCATCGTCGGGCCCAGCCTCCAAATTTTTAGGAGTTTGGGAAACCTGCCACTTTTTGTCTCTTGTGTCTACTCTGAAGAATGTCCATTGTCACAAGAGACAAAAAGCCAGTGATTCAGTTTGCGGAAACACTGGTGTGGCTGTTGACCACATGAGGACAGAAACACTCGAATAAGAAACGGAATCAGTCATTCAATCAGGACCTCGATCAGGTGGCTCCACTGGAATTTCGAGAGTTGATGATGAGGGTTGTTGCAAGTTGTGGTCCGCATTACGGTCCAGATTATGGTCCAGGTATTCAGGTTATGGGCAAGGTTAGGCCTAGGTTGGGGCTAAGGTTATGTTGGGCCTAGGTTGGGCCTCAGGTTACGGGCAAGGTTCGGCCTAGGTTGGGCCTCAGGTTGGGGAACTGGATGGAGCTCATGTTCGGGTTCAGGGTGCAGCTCAGTTGTCAGTAAGACAATTTGCTGTTTGGTTCATATTCTGGTTCGTTGAATAGCCGGGAGGCAGTTTGTTGGGATGAACGCTGTGTCCGGTTTCCACCATTCCCCTGGTAGAAATCTGAGGTCCCTACCCTCAGATTACCTTCGTATAGTAAAGCCTTGGGCACTGGGCCCGTTCTTTTAAAAAACAAATGGAAAAAAAAAAGTTGAAAAAACACTTGTTTTTGACGTTTTGTAAGTTTTTGCACTTCTATCAGTACCTTGTTTTTTTTTTTTTTTTTTTTTTTTTTTTTTTTTTATTATGCTTATTATTAGCTTATATATTATTAATTGCAAAAACAGGGGGGGAATCCCTCCACATACTGGGACCATTACCCAGCTTTGGCTTGGCTGGAAACCGGGTCCAGCATCCCCTTGAGCATATTTCTAAAAAAAGGAAAACTTGACCAAGGGAGAATCAATTTCTACCTAAAAGAAGGGAAAGCCTAAGACGGCTGAAGAAAACGAGCAGTCCTCAGGAGTGTAATGCTGGTTAACAAGATATACCTCACTTCCGTAGTTTCCCCCTTAAACCCTAAACCCTGCCCACCTTTTTTATTCTTTTTCGTAATTTTTGTGGCAAGCACACATATCTGCGGCCCTGCCCACCTTTTTTATTTCTTTTCGTAATTTCTGCAGCAAGCACACATATCTGCGGCACTGGTGCAGTCGGGAAAGTGCACGCACCGTGTGAAGTTTACAATCTTTTAATGCACGGGGTGCACCACCAAGCATGATACAGTTAAATCTATGGCCGCAAGAACAGCCACATCTTCAGGCCCGATTATGGCTGCCATCATAGACACAATTATGGCCGGGACTTATAGCCAACTGTGGTCACGTTTGCATTTATCTGCGACTGAAGTTATCTCATTACTGCCGAGGGACAGTGGTGGTACGGCGGAACCTCTAATTATTTGGCTATGAACTTGTGAAGTTAGTATGAACTCATGGAAAGGAAATATTAATAACTGTCCTTCTGGTCACAGTTCACAGCGGCCACTGAGCAAAGCCTGATCTGATTTGGCACGATTTACATGCCAGGCAAATTGGATTGCAATTTCTTATACTGATAAGAGGCTAACAATTCCGGTTCTCGTTCATAACTATCATCTCAGTTTATCTAAGAAATTAGCAAAAAAATAAAAAATATGATTCACAACATGAGAGGAGTTCAGAGAGCCAATCTCTGCATACCTCTCCTCACCTTTCACACTCCACCAATCTCCATATTTGCTCTTCTTGACCACCTGGTTCGCCGGTCGCCATTGCCAGTCATTGAAGGCTCCTTTCAAGAAAACACTGGGCTCATTCTGGAGAGACGTCAAGGGCCGATTCAGAAACAACTCGGCCGTTGATCCAGCTTCAATCACCTCTGGGTAAGAGAACAATTTATCTTCTGCATGAACCTCCAGCAGACGAGCAATCGCTGCTTGTCTCTTTGCGACCGCCGCTGCCTGCGCCTTCAGCTTCCTTTCCCTCTCTCTTTCTTCCGCCAGCCTCTTCTGTTCTGCCAGGATTCTCTCTCTTTCCATTTTTTCCGCATGCATCGTTCTCTCCTTCTCTTTCTGATCCAACTTCAGCTTTCTCTCCCGTTCCTTCGTTTGCAGCAGAAGCTTTCTCTCCGTTTCTCGCTCTTCCAGCTGCTGCCGCTCTTTCTCCCTTGCCTCCGCCGCCAGCCTCTGCTCTATGGTCCGCTTCTGTTTCTCCTTCTCCTTGTGGAGCTCCAGCTCCCCCGCCTTGACCGCCACCTCAGAGTCCACAACCCCTCTCCGTCGCTCGTTAGGCGGCATCTCAATGACATTCGTCTTGATCTCCATCGAGTCCGCCGTCCCGACATGGCTCTCCGTAATGTCTGTTGATGTCAAATCTGTCGTGGCATCTTTGGCTGACCCTCCGCGCTCCGCAATCCGTTTCCCAACCGCCCCCTTGACGTCTCTCGGTCCATCTGACCCCGATTTCCTAGCCCTTGTTAAATTACAGTTTCCAATCAAACTGCACCTGTAGCTTTTACTGTGCCAGAATACCACAGTTGCCTCTCTTAACCATCTCCCTGTGAGAAAACAACAGCGACAAAAAAATCGAAAACGATCAAATGGCATTCAAAATTCAAATGAGAATAGTACAATGTGCAAAGCTTGCTTCACATGTCTCGGAGGACGTATTGTACATCCCAGCTGACGAAAAACGATTGCTCATCGCCCCGACGCATCCTCCTGCCTTTTACCATCAGATACCCTTTGATTGCTAAGCAAGAAAAACTATTGCCCTTTGATTGCTAAGCAAGAAAAACTACTGCTTCAGAGTGAGGGTCACCAACCAAAAGAACACAGTTTGAGCAGAGATAGGCTGAACGGCGATGGTCGTACAGGGGGCGGTTCTTTGCAAAAGATCCATTCTGTGTGATAGTAAGGCCTAACACATCTTTTGATTCTTTTGACAATCAATGTGAGCACCCATGATCCCCAGAATCATTGCCAACAATGCCACTGTAGATGAGACCTCAAATTCACTGATAACTAACTAAGTCCTGTCTCACAGTTGAGGGGAAGGAAGCCAGCGAGTCGTGTTGTTGATGCGTTAGGAGTACCTATTGATGGAAAA